TTTAAATTTCTTGCAACAAAACTTTCTGCCATGCATTGTGTGTACTTTTGAAAATTCTAAGGACTGAATTTAATATTGCAATACGATCAATTGTGCGTTACAAATAGTGGATTTCTTTTTTCATTTCTCGATTTATCTTTAACATTCGAATTTTTTGCAACAAGACTTTCTGCCACGCGTTCTGCGTATTTCTGAACTTTATTCTAATACAATAAATGTACGCAATACAGTTTTACAAGTGTACTGCGATGTTGTATCCACTGGTGGAGTCGTCTCTCCCGGAAGAGGTGCTACGAGCGTGGCAACGTAACGGACAGCGAGAAGCAGCAAACATGAAAGATGAAAGAGAGACCGAGGATCGGCTAACAAGGATTCTGAGGTTTCTGCAGGTCGAAGTGGAAAATGAAGAACGCATAGACGTGGCTCTGCAGGGTTTTCAAATCTCAACGGAAGGAGAAGGATGCAGGAGACCGAAGAGCAAGTCGGAGCCGACTAAGGAGCCGTCTAGGGAGTGTGCGAGCGCGGGCGCGCTGCTCACCTCGAAGGAAGAAAAACAGATAGTATGTATATTCTGTAACGGTAAGCACGATAGTCAGGGGTCTGAAGTCGCGAGGAAAATGAGTTTAAAAAAAAGAAAAGACTGCGTACAAAAAGAGAACGTGTGTTTTGTTTGTATAAATCGTGGTCATATCTCAAAAAAATGCCGCGTTCGAGTTAAGTGCGCGTGGTGTGGCCGACGACATATATTACTTTTCTGTTCGAACCTTGTCGAGAAGGAAAATAAGGCGCCAGATAAGCATAACGAAGACGAGTCAAAATTAGAAAAATGTTTGGCGACGATTTGTGAGACGCTCGAAGTTTATTTACAAACATTGCGTGTAAAATTCTATTCTAATTCGCGAGAAAAAACTGAAAGGACAATTTTAGATACCGCTTCACAGCGTTCGTATATTCGCGCGGACATTGCGAAAGAGATAGGTTATGTACCGCGCGGGGAGACCGAGGAAACGCACTCGCTCTTTGGCGGTGTCAGGCTAAAGACAGGGAAGTCCAACATTTTTTTGATTAGAATAAAAAGTCTGGACGAGTCCTACCCATGCAATTTCTCGGTGATGAGCAAAGACACGATTTGTGAAACGATTCGCGATGGGAACACTTCTCAAATGGACGGTAATGGGTCGGTTAAACAAACAAACGAGAGAGAAACACGATACAGCTACGCTGATTACTACAATGTCTGTGCGGCAGGCGGACATGTCAGATTTGTGGCGTTTAGATATTATAGGTATCAATGACCCAATAGAAAAGCTAAGTGAAACGACTAGAAATAAAAGCACGCGAGACTTTATAAGAAAGACAACGGTCGGTATATGGTTCGACTTCCATGGAAACAGGATTTGTTTGAAAATTAGGATATAGCAAAGCATAGGTTGACAACTACAATCGACAAATTAAACAAGCAAAACCTTTTTTCCGTCTATGACAACGTTTTCAAAAATTGACTGGCGGAAAATATTATCGAAAGGGTTTCCGAAGAACAGATGGGAAGCGCGTGTCATTATCTGCCGCATCGACCGGTTATAAAGTTAAACAGTACGACAAAGATTAGGCCAGTGTTTGATGCGTCGGCTAATAAAAAAGGGTATCCGTCGCTTAATCAATGCCTTGAAGAAGGACCTAATCTTATAGAGCTCGTGCCGTCGTTGTTAAATAGATTTCGCGAAAGAAGAATAGGAGTTATTTCGGACATAAAAGGGTCGTTTTTACAAATCGTAGTACAGAACGAAGAGAGAGACTTTCTTCGTTTTTTGTGGCAGGAGGACGCTAAAACAGTGGTTTTTAGACACTGTCGTGTGGTTTTTGGATTGTCCCCTAGTCCTTTTCTGTTGTCCGAGGTACTAACGATACATTTAGAGAAGGCCTTGAAACTCGCGAAAAACGATACAAAATGTTTATGGTCAGAAAAATTAGTCCAGAAATTAAAGGAATCTTTCTATGTAGATAATTGCGTGACGAGCGTCGATTCAATAGAAGAGCTGCGTATGTTTATACAGGAAGCTACAACAGTAATGACTATGGACGGTTTTGATTTACGCGGATGGGAACATCAAGAAAATTACTCGGAAAATACAATTACAGGTGTACTCGGAATTTCGTGGAACAAAGAAAGAGATACGATAAGTATTAATCCGACGGTAGTAGATTTGGGATCGCCAAAGATCGTAACAAAGAGTTTTATCGGGCGCACATACTTGCCCTGTGTCTCTTCAGCCAAGAATTCTACGCACACGATTGTGGCTAGAGGGAAGAACAGGGATGAAAAAATTGATGATAAGCGAAGCGACGAATTCTTACGATGGACGAATGAATTACCGTTATTAAAGAAAATAGAATTGCCGTGAGGAATCGGAGAGGGTAAACTGTCGGTTCATTCGTTCGGGGATGCGAGCGGAGCGGCCTATGTCGCAGTAGTATTTGCAAGAGTCGAGGCAAAAAACTTTATTCGTGTACAGTTGCTGAGTGCGTGGACTCGGATAGCGCCAAAGAGCGGGACTATACCTCGCCTTGAATTAATGGCGGCTACGATAGCCGTGAGACTTACTAATTCGATTCTCAAGTCATTGACGCGTCGTGTAGAAAGCGTGACATGTTGGTTAGATTCTACTACAGTCCTAGCGTGGTTAAAGCGTGATATTCAGTGGGAAACGTTTGTTTACAATCGAGTCAAAGAAATCAGAGCGTCAAGATGGCGATACGTTCCGAGTGATTTAAATCCAGCCGATTTGCCGTCGCGGGGTTGTAGTGCGTCGCAGCTTATAGGGTCACAATGGTGGTTGGGCCCAAGTTGGCTTAGTAAGGACGAAAGTTATTGACCTTCTACAGAAGAAAATGTAAATGAAAACATAATAAAGAGCGAAATAAAAAAGAGTGCGCTTGCAAACATGATAAATGCTTAGGGTTCGCCATTTAAAGCGAGTAGTTTGTTCTCTACATATACAAAACTCATACGTTTCATAGCATGGGTGCGTAGATTCCTAAGAAATCGGAAAATACTACTCAAAAAGCGCAAATCACAAAAACACAATGTTTCTAAAGTAAAAGAAGTGACAAAAACTCTGTATTTGACTAGAGACAAGCGGAAGAAGTTGTATTTATCAGCAAGTGATGTCAAAGAAGCTGAAGTTAGGTTACTGAACACTTACAGAGAGTTATGTTTACAAATACGGATAAGAGTAAATTGTCATCTTTTAAAGTAGTGTTAAATAACGAGGAGTTGTATGTTGTAAGAACAAAAATCCTCAACCGAGACGATAGCATGTTTTTGTCTCCTATTATTTTAGACAAACATGATATTGTAACTTTGCTTGTGACAGAGATACATGAAAAGTGTGGACATGCTGGATCGCAAATTGTAATGAACACGTTACGTGAACAATTTTGGATTATTTCTTTGCGTCAAATTGTTAGATCCGTTGTATCGTGATGCGTTATCTGTAAGAGATACAAGACAAAGCATATGCAATGTGAGCCACCTCCTCTCCCCGTTACGCGTGTACGAGACTCAAGAGTTTTTGAAGCTACTAGAATAGATTTTACAGGACCAGTTTTTATTAAAGGTGGGGGGAAGGGGTGGATATGCATATTCACATGCGCAGTGTATAGAGCCGCACATTTCGAGTTGGCGTCATCGTCTGTAGATGGATTTATAGAATGTCTTCGTAGGTTCATAGCTAGACGCAGACGACCATGTTATATATTTACGGACAATGGGACAAACTTCACCGGTCGGCTAAAGCGCTAGAAGGTCTGGATTGGGAGAAAATTATTAAGCAGACGTCGGTACGGCAAATCGAGTGGCGTTTTAACCCACCATCAGCGCCGTGGTGGGAAGGCTGGTGGGAAAGACTTATAGGCGTACTAAAGACGCTTTTACGTAAGATTTTAGGAAAAGCTAGCTTGTCATACGAAAGTTTAACGACGTCTCTCTGTGATGCAGAAGCGGTGGTTAATTCCCGCCCGCTCACATACGTATCAGATGACCCGAAATGCGGAGTTCTGGATTTAAATATGCTTTGTAATCGGACATTGAATGAAAAATGGCAATATAGGCAAAAGATTTTGAAGGATCTTCGAGCTAGGTTTCGATTGGAAAAAAGTAAAAAAGAGTCACGAGAGATCAAGGTTTGGTGACATAGTCCTGATAGGCGATGATATACACAAACGAGTAGATTGGCCGCTAGCACGAATAGTTGAGGCGATTACGGAACGAGATGGTAAAGCTAGAGTGTATGTATTGAAGATAAAAACGGATTGTTAAAAAGAATTAAATAACAAGGTAAATTAAGTGACGATTCTCCATAGGGGCGAGGATGTTGGGGAATTGTCGAACGAAAAGGTGCGAGCGCCATCTTGAAAGTCTGAACACATGTCGGTCGTGGAATTGGCATGCGCAAGGAAAGGTACTGCAGGCAATAAAATCCGTTTTATCTAACAGACCACTGACTTGCTTATTTTTACGATTACCTAGTGAACCCTTTTAAGTTATTAACAAATATTACACTAATTCAACCTAAGTTTACCTAGAAAGGTAGATCAATTATGTCTAAATGTCTCTTAAAAAGAGAGAAGTTTATTTATCGTGGTAGAATTTCCATCGTAAATGAATTTCTTTAGAAATATTAATAGTATTAAAAGGCTTCGCAATAACCATTAATTTTTGATCCATTTTGCATAAGTAGATTAAACACCTACTTCATTCGATGTCTGAAGCTGATCCCCTACCTTTCGTTGCTAAGTTGCTTTTAAGCAAAATTGGGATTAACAATCGATGCACTTTACAAATCATGAGTTTCTATGGTAATTTTAAAAATTCGTTCGATATGAAAATAACAATTACTATTACAACAATTACTGTTAGATTCCATTGATCTATGTGAGCAATAAGAGGTGTACGTTATTTTCCTTTGTTTAAAATTTAATGAAAAGACAAATATACTTACAATGAAGTTTGATGGTACCATCTGTTTTTCCGAGAGCGTTCTTTGATATGCATTTGTAGGTTCCATAATCCGACATTCCCACCGAGAGTATTGTAAGTTTCATGTGTACCTTGTACGTACTTTCCGTCTGTGACTGGAGATACTTTTCTCCTAAAAACCGACAAGTCTGATCAATAGAGACCACATTTCCATTGATGGATTCATGTTCCATTTAGTATATACGACGAAACGAATATAAATTAAAAATAGTATCATCTTAAACGGTAAAATAAAGAGTTAATGTTGTAACTTAATAAAGGATGCATGCTAGAATTGTAGCAATTTATATATAAATTAGGAATAGATAAATATAAATAAATCTACATCTAAGGACAGTGATATAAATAAACCTCAACAATTTAATGCACGATCCGTATAATTGCATATAGGAGCATGCCATTTAAATTGTTCGAGATTCTTCATCAATAGCGTAATAGAAAGCGAACACTGTTATTTAAAGAGTTACATATTCACCCTGACACTTTAATGAATTTGTTCATTATTGTACATTAAAAGGCAGTTTATTTTGAACCGTTAACAACAGTGGACAACATGGAAAAGTTAATTAGTGCAACATGTGCTGCATTCGTTTTCGAAACAATTCAATGCATTATTCCGTCTTTAATTGTCACACTGGATCCCTGTGTATCCATAATTAATTGCAAATTCCAATTTGAACATCGATTTTAGGAGAAATAATTAATAAAGACTGGCCTTGTTTTCAATATTTCAAACTATCTATTCATTCGAATTCTGGGAGGGAGAGAGGGAGAGAGAGAGGGAGAGAGGAGAGAGAGCCATTTAGCACCACTTATACAGCCTGCCAGACCAATTTCTGTATGCAATTTGGTATGTGAACAATACATACTAAAGTAACAATGATTTTAGCCAAAGACATTGTTATTGCTTACATGTTTCCGACTGTTTAGTGGAGCGATACATCGTTTGTGCTCTGCCACCTTTGGATCATTTTTATTCTTTTGTACAAAACAGTCGAATAACAAAAAGATATTTGTAATGAAATTGGCCAAAATTTTATGTCGCGGGTTCTTGGACTAACAGTTCTGGCATAAACCGCATACCGTTATATTATAATTTTTATTCCTTCTCTATTTAACCGAACTTTGATTAAGCAACTGTATTACTAATTTCACGACATCACGCATCTCCGCTGTAATTGAACTTATATCTATGAAACTGTCTTATGAATTATTTTGTTAAACTCTACTATTTGAGAGGGTGATTTACGCTAATATCGAAGTTCTATTAGTAATAGAACTTAGGCTGCTACAGGTGTGATAATATTGATGGTGACACACCAAACAATAACAAAAACTATCTGCTCGAACGCGCTACCAAGAGTCGATACTGCTCAGCTCGGCTCAGCTGCTCGAGTGCGCGATCGATATCGCTCAGTTCCGCTTCTGCGGTACAATTCACGAGATACAAATTATTTATTATTAATACAAAATTCAAAACTCATGTGTTTGCGATTTCCTAATAACTCCCACTATGTTTCTTTAACCTAGATAAAATATTGTTCGGATATCCTTTATGTTCCGACGGAAAATATAAAGGATGCATAGATAAATTAAATATTAACCGTTCGTCAAGTTCTACAAGAGCGACACATTATTAAATAGCGAAAGGAAAGTATAAATCTCGAGAGGCGATATCGAGACGACAAAGAAGAGTTGCCGTATGAAATTCGTTTTCAAGAGAAATTCATTAACTTAAAGATTTACCTATGAACTAATAAGAAAGCAGACATCGCTTTTCCCTCGGCGAACCGCACGTTACAAATGAAAGGAACGACGAAAGCAGTAGAAGTCATGACAATCACGAGTCATTAAAGTTGTACACATGGCTCGACGAACCCAGAAAACGTCTGGTTTGAAATGGTCGTGAAGGGTGCACTCGTTGTGATGCAGAGAAGATGGGCTAGACTAGAGCAATGGTAGAAGAGGGGTAAAAGGACAGTAATGGCATTGGTAAGTAGCTTCAAGCACGCCACACTTAGATAGAGGTTGCTCGAGCGGTGCGTTGCTTTCTTTTAATATTGTTCATGCTATACTCGACGCTACCTAGTAACAATCTCAGCCTGCATCGTTAGGCGAGATCTAACGGTGAGAAGCGGTACAAATGAAATAACAATCATTTATCTTCTTTTTTTTATGAAACTGATGCTGTTATGTCTTATATCCGCAGGATTTCTCTTCTGCTTTTTAGGACTGAAATTTTGTTCCGAGTATGAATTTATTACTTTAAAACATTGACAATATGAGTACATTTTCATTTTATTTTGTTTTAAAATATTTCTAAGGACATTCATTGACGCAGATACCTTTCCTCTCACAAGCTTTCAGATAATTTGTCAGTTTAAAACACTGACAATATGAGACACAGTGTCACCTTGCACTTTACTGGAAAGGACCTTCATGTACTTGCTGCTCATTTCGATTTCACATCTTTTTCTACTTTCTTGAATTTTTTTAAGGGAATCTTCTATTTTTCTATGATTACTCTTTAAGTCCTCCACTTTTTCATGTACTTGGAGTAATTTTTTTACTTTTTTGAAGTTTTTTATGGGGATCTCGCTGCTTTTTACAAAGATAATTTGTATAGTGATAACCATATACTTCCCAATACAATATCACTACACGTAGCCTAGAAAATAATTATTCAATTTGCGGCGTCCAAATGTCACAAATACAAACTGACTGGTTATACAGGTTAGAAATGACAAATGTCACAAATACAAACTGACAGGTTATACAAGTTAGAAATGAACGAGCGGCGTGAACGGCAGCCATATTACAATTCTGGCCGACGAGCCCCGCCGACTGATTCCGAGAGTCGACGAATCGACAAACGGCCTTTGCTCCTATTGGCTAAGTGTTGAAAAGAATAATAATAAGAATCAGAATCAGAAGAGAAATGTAGAATTTCTGACTGATTCATGACATGATATTACGATATTTCAGTTGTACATGGACCGATTTTATTGATTTTGGTTTTATTAGAAAGCTTACATGCGATTTACATACGAAAAATGCCTTTAAATTTAGAAAATATTGCAGGCGTGATGAGATATTAATGAAACAAGTTTCAGGTTAGCTTGGAATCGCAGTTTTACGAGTAAAAGATACGTGGTAGCGTCAGCACCATTGCAGTGTACAGGATGGCGTACATTTTTTCATGTACTTGACGTCGAGACGCTACCGCGTCTCTAGATTAATTGCTTTATTCGAACGTTCATTATCGTGACTTGCGCCCAATTAATACGGGAATAATTGTTAATATGATCGGTAACATCTCATTTACTCGCACGACCCTCTTTGTCTCTCTCACTCGCCTCGCGCCCCTTGACGAACATAGCAGAACCCAGAGTGAACACATGTCGGTCATCTTACGTTGTTCTTTTACAGTGGGAAGTTTAAGTAGGACTATAATTGAAAATATGATTATACATTTGAAAATAAATTTTTAGTAGATTACTTTTTGTAATCTATCAATGGTTGCAATGTATCTGTGACTTTCTCTTTAAAAATTATTCGAATAACTAAGCACTTACTTTGAAAAGGATAAAAAGGAATGCACTTATCTCAATTGGTGGAATATGGGTATAAAATTTTTAGAGTATATCAGGTATACGAATGAATATAAAACGTACATATCTATTATAAATAATAATTATAATATCGTACATTTAATTAAACTTACTATACAGAAATATTTAAAAGTAGGATTAAGATTTAATTATTGTAATAGATTACAAAAGATTTAAGTAGATTACAAGTAACAAACTATAACAAAAAATTAGATATTCAAAGTATTGAAACTCTACAAATTCATTTTCAAACATGTATGTAACCATATTTTCAATTATAGTTGTATTTAAACTTCCTGCTGTAAAAGAGATGGCCGACGGGTCTCGCCACCTGGCTTCATGCCCCACCACGTCTTTTATTAGTCACTGCCCGGTCCCTATATGCCCTTGAGCCATACACTTATAACAGTTGTAGGGAGCAAATGTGATCAACAGAAAATTAGGGAACTTTAAATTTCAATATTTCTGAGGCGATTATAAAATGATCACTATAATTTTGTATCATACATCCTTATGATACAAAACCTTTAAAGAGTAAAGTAATTAAAAATAATTTAGAATTTGTAACACAAAATTAAGTTGTCGCGTTTTAAGTCGTTTTATGAAAGAAAGTCGCTGCTTCTATCGACCTCGCAACTCAATAGATAAAATGTATGCATTCCTGAATTTGGATAACCCCTTAATTATTACAAATTTTAGAAACATCTATAAGTATTAACGCTTAAAATCTAGTTAATCCAAGTAGAAATTCAACTCATTCCGATCGATATATCTTCTACAATCCATGTAGAACCTATGGCATATCCGTGCGGTAAATGTGTCATCGAAATCGTTGAATTCGGAATGAAATAAATATGCATGAATAAAAATTCGGCATACCATCAATTTCATTTCGTTCATTTTCGTTCGCTCAAACATTATGCACTTGCACAGATAGCACGGAGCAACTCAGTTATAAAACGTTCTTGTTTTGATACGTGTTCTATTTCAGTGTATTTTCATGCAAGCGTTCGTATTTTTTAGGTACAGTCCAATTTGCGTCGGATTTCTTTACTACGCAGTAGCGTGACCGTTACAATGTATGTATGTACATATGTATATGGGTGAGACGTGCAAAGCGAACGTTCGGCATATGGCTGCCGATTCATGTGTGTGAAGTTAGCCCGGCACTTTTCGAATTTTTGATTTTTTTAAATTGTGCTACATTGTGCTACGCTTGTGCCGAATTGTGCCGTAAACCGCAACTCTGTAAGTCAAAGCGTACTCAAGAAAATAGAACAAAACAAGATTTTTGATAGCCCCGCACTTTTCGAATTTTGAGTTTTGCTTTTTTGTGCCGTATTGTGTTATATTTGTGCTGAATTGTGCCATAAATAAGAGATCGATAACATCAATAACTATTAAGAAGAGAAATGAAACCAAAATTATACTAGCCCTCCAGTTTTGCCGAAACAAACTTTTTTTTCTATAGGAAGATGCGTACTAACTTGTGCTACATTGT